GGGGAGGGCTGGACTTGTTCACGCAGGGTTAGGCTGGGAAAGGAGGCTCTCCTCAGGGCACAGGGTGACGAGGGGCTGAACTGGGCAGTGTCAGCGAGAAAGGACAGAAGCAGAAAGAGAAAAGAAGTGGTGAGTACCGCTGAGTGCAGGGAAGGGCGAGAGCTAGTCGCTCCTTGCAGCAGCAAAGCCAAGGGCAGAAGGCGCAGCCAGACATCTAGGAAAAGTCCCCCGCTAACAAAGGGCAGCCCCTGCCCGGGTCTGCCTCCTTCTGATGCCTCTGCCCAGGTGAGGACCCCTTCTCCCTCACAGCACCCCATTACTCACTCGACATGCGGAGGAAGGGGTCCTGAGAATGTACAGTCATTCTGACTGTGTCTCCCATCTGCTTGGAAAATGACAGCTTCCAGTGTCTCCTCACATAGTCCAAGCCCCCAAATCGGGATGGACACCCAGATCCCCCCACGTCCTCTAAATAGGGCTATCCCTTTCCCGCTCTTCACTGCCTGCTCCCCGCAAGCAGCTGTTCCCCTTTCACGTGGGTCCTCTCCCTCTTCCACCCTCTTCCTTCACCATGTACAGTTTCCAGAAAGCCCTTCTTGATCAACCCCACTCAGCCTGGAAACTGACCAAGGAGAGGGGGAGGCGACAGACGGTGCTGTCCACTGTCCGTATGTGGCTACTTAAATTGGAGCTGTGAAGTACGAATTAGAATCCAAGTCGCAGCAGGCGTGTTCCGAGTGCTCAGAGCACACGTGTCTGGCAGCCCCCAGTCGGCCAGTGCATAAAGGTTTCTGTCTTCCCAGAAGGCTCTGTTGGTGAGTGCTGCCCAGGATTTTCACCTAAAATGGAAATAAAGAATAAGGAACAGGATTGGGGGCGGTTAACTTGGGACACTACGAGGTTAAAGGGTCCATGGGACATTCAAGAGGAAACGGCTGACCGGTAAGAAATCCGGGAGTCCCTGCCACCCCTCCCCCCTTTCTCCTAAACAAGGCTCAAAATTCAACTAGAGACCTTTCCCTGCGGGATTCCTCCTAAAACCCAACGTTTAAGGAATCTCGAGGAGGCGGCTATGTTGAAGGACTCCAGGGACATGCTGCGTACCTGTGTGGGTCTGTGTCTGGCCAGGGGTAGCTGGAGAAGGGGCCGTGCCGGCCAGGGCTGGCCTGATGTCATGGCTGGTGTCATCTCTCGGAGGAAGGGAGGGGTAGAAGATGCAGAGATCTGAGGACCTCAGCTTAGACTCAGGATCGCCAGAGAAACAATTCCCAGGGACAGTCCTACCCACTCTCCACGGGATCCCTGCCACTCATCGCCTGGACAAAGGGATCAGTCACCTTTTCTAACTCCCTCCTCCAGGTCTTCTCAAACCCTTTTCAGTAGGATAAGCCAGATATGATTGTCCCCCCACGACTCCCCCCTGACCATCCCCTTTGGCCTCTGCTCTCCTGGCTGTGAGTATGCAGCCCCATGCCCCTTCTCTGTTTTTCTGTAGAACCTATTCTTGGGACTAGACTCAGACTTCAGGGGATGAGGAGCAGCACACAGCCCTGAGCCCCTGCCTCCCTTCCTTCCACGCTGGCAGGCTTTGGGAAAAGCCTGGGAACTCCTGGGAACATTAACCACACATTTAACCACACATTTTAAGGTCTAGTCTCAGGGAGAACAAGGGGATGGGTCAGGCGGCTAATAGGAAGTAGGAGGATGGACTGAACCCTGTCCCCCGCCCTGAGGAGTCCCCACTCATCCACTGCGGAGGAGAGACCTCTGGCATCCAGGCTGCAGGCCACTGGTCTTCACGGTTGTACTAAGCAGGACAAAACCGTGAGACGCCCCCTTGTGGTGGTTCTCAGCTCTGGCTGCTTTTCAGAATCACCTGGGAAATGTTAATGACCTAACCTGGACCCTACCCTGGAAATTGGGTTTAATTGGTCCAGGGTAGAGCCAGGTATTGTTATATTGAAAAATCCACTCACCCAGGAAATTCTGACGCACAGGCTTGGTTTATAACTGCTGCTCCGGACACTGCAGCTTGGGGCTGATCTACTTGGCTTTCCCTGGTGGCTGGGGGTGAGTCAAGGAGAGGCGAGGGGTCCAGAGCCCAGAGGCTGAAGCCACAGTCTAGAAGCGGCAGGATGGAGGACGTGATGCCACTACTGTGTTGCAAAGAACCTCATGCACTCGGCGGGGTCTATGTGGGGCAGCAGGTTCCCTCTGCCCTGCCGCCCTCACTGCAGGCTGATACCAGGCCATGCCTGGCAGCCCGTGCTCAGCCTGGAGTGTCCAGCCCTGGAGGCCTGCTCACCCGCCGTGGCCAGCATTGGGCAGATGGTTCCCTTTCTCTGACAATTGCAGAGCATCCTTGAGTTGGAGGGGCTGCCTTCACTGCTGTATACCACATGGAGAGGCAGAGGGGAGCAGAGGAGGACCCCCAGGACCCCCATCCTGCCCCACCCTCTCCCACAGTCAGCTGCTTTCCTGGAAGCCCTCTGACCACTAATCCAGGACCTGAATTATGCGAGTCAGCGTGAGCAACCCCAGCTCTGCCACAACCTGCCACGATCGGCAGGCCAGGGCAGCTATGGTGGCCAGGGTGTGGTCACAGGAGCAAGCTCTCTGAGCCAAAGTTGAGGACAGTCTGCTCTGTGAGTTCCAGTCCAGCCCAGACAGCCCACCCCTGGCCTTCGTCACTCCCCCTCCACCCCCCAGCTCCCTGTAGCTACCCCATCTCCCCCATGCTAACCTGCACACACCTATTATACACGCACTCCATACTAACTCGGTCTCCAGGCCCACCCGTCACCAAAGGGGAGGCTGAGAGTCAGAGCTTTATTGACCTCGGGGTTTGAGCCTGGCCATACAGTGACACAAAGAAAGGTGATCCCACAAAGGATCTCTTGTCCATGGTAGAGAGCACCCTTCCTCACCCCCAGGAGGCGCTGAGGCAGGACTGGCACAGGGCCAGGGCCTCCAGGATGCGTGGTCAGTGTGGCACAGGCAGCTGGCTGGGCCTCAAACGGTGAGCAGAGCTTCCTCTGCACAGCAGCTCTTGCCCCTTGGGCAAAGTGGGGCAGATGACCCCCCTTCTGTGACGGCTGCAGAATCATCTGGCCCGCTGTGTCTCTCCTGCCCCAACCCGAGGTAGGAGGCCAAGCAGCACAGGCATGAGCTAGGAGGAGCCGCTCCCCTCCCTGCCGTGCCGCCCGTGTCTTCTGAGGGGTTCCCTCAGATGCAGGCGCACCACGAACTCAGGGAAATATGGCAAAGGGTGGCAGGGTCTTGGTACCAGAGCGGAAAGCCACCTTGGGGAGTGTCCACGTGAATGAGGAAGAGGGGCCGGGTGTCTGCTTGAGATGACTTGGAGAAGGTTCCAGGGGCTCCTCGCCAGCTACCTCAGTGTACATCCCTCCCCACTCCCTGGAGAACGGCGTCCTACCTCCTGTCAGGTCGAAGGGGCAGTGGGGAGCACGGACGGAGAAGGGGCTCTCCCGGATGCCCAGCGTCTCCTTCGTCACCCCTTCTCCTCCTCCCAGGCAAGGACACTCGGGGCGTCTAAACCTCCGTCTGGGCTCCTGGCTCAGTGCCGCCCACAATGGCCAGGGAGGGCTCCTTGCCCTCGGGGAAGGCCACGATGCCCTGCTTTTGGCTGCGGAGGGCCAGCTGTAAGGGCGTGCAGCCCCCTCTGTCTTGGACATCCAGCTGGGCTCCGGCCTTGACCAGCACTTTGAGGATGGCCGTGTTGCCCTTGACGGCTGCCAGGTGGGCAGGTGTCCAGCCCACCTTGTTGCAGGCACAGACATCCGTGTGGTGCTCCAGGAGGTTGATGACACTCAGGAAGGCACCCCTCTGGACCGCCAGGTGGAGGGGTGTCCAGCCTGACTGCTCAGCGGCATTGGGGTCAGCCCCACACTGCAGCAGGGCCGACACCACCACCTCCTCCCCATGGCGGGCAGCCAGGTGCAGGGGGGTCCAGCTCATGCCTCCGAGAGCACCCAAGTCTGCGTGGCTCTCAGCCAGCAGGTGGATGATCTCTAGGTGGCCCTTGTAAACTGCCAGGTGCAGAGGAGTCCAGCCCTGCTGGGTGGGCAGCTCGGGGCTGGCCCCATACCTGAGCAGCATCTTGCAGATGAGGTACTTGCCCCTGGCAGCCGCGATATGCAGTGGGCTGTAGCCGCTCTGGTCCAGGGCGTCGGGGGCCGCCCCACTCTTCAGCAGGTGCTGGATGGCCCGCACTTTCCCGCGCTCCACCGCCAGGTGCAGTGGGGTCCTCAGGTTCTTCTGCGGAGCATCCAGCTCAGCCCCCTGGCCTGTCAGCAGCTTGACCAATCTGACATGGCCAAAGTAGGCGGCTACATGGAGGGGGGTCTTGCCCTCAGCCTCACGCAGGTTGGGGTCAGCCTGGCGGGAGACCAGAAGCCGCGCCACATTCTCGAAGTTGTTCTGCGTGGCCAGGTGGAGCGGGGTCCAGCCCTCATGCTCCTGGGCATCCACACGGGCCCCGTGGTCCAGGAGCAGGCGGGTGGTACGGTCGTCCCCGTTCTGGGCTGCAAAGTGCAGAGGGGTCCAGCCGTCCTCGTCTTGCCAGGTCGGCGTCTGCGCCGTGTGCCAGGAGCAGGGCACAGAGGTCGGGCTGCTGGTCCTGGGCGGCGATGAGGAGGGGCGTGTAGCCGGAGGCCGTCTGGCAGTCCACGCCGACCTCGTGGGCCAGCAGCAGCCTCACCTGCTCCACACTGCCCTGTGTCACCAGGAAGTGGAGGGGGGTGACCTTGTTCTCTTCATCGCTCGGGATCGAGTTCTCGCTGTCAGAGAGCTGCAGGGCCCGCTTTAAGTAGTCTCCTGAATCTGCCGGGAGCGGGGGCAGGGTTGAAGAAACATGAAAAAACACCTGTGATTTGTCCGGATGTCATGTCAGCCAGCCCCCCTGCTTCCTGAAAGGACTTCTAGGAAGAGACTGGAGGAGTCAGGGCGCTGCCTTTCCTGGTGTCAGCGTTTCTGCACAGCTAGCGCCGCTGCCACCAGAACTTGAGGGCCGTTGTCTGGGAGAACTGCACAGGGGGCTCAGGGGACCCAGGGGCAAGGCCAGATTCCAGTCCCCGGCATCCCTGAGCTCAGCCAGTTCTCTGCCTCTTTAGGCCTCCACACCAGGTCAGTAAGGGGGAGCTGTGGGGCTCAGCTCAATCTGCCATTGCGAGGACAAATTACAAATTATGTAGGTAAGAACTTTCAGGGCGACCAGCAGTTAGTGTAATGGCTATGTTGCTGGAGTCCCATGTAGTTGGCCGCGGTTTGAGACCCGGACCCAGTGGTTTAAACTCATGCCGGGAGCATGTGCGTGCGTGCCCAAGATCCCGAGGGGAGAACAGAGAAGGGATTGAGGCGTGGCCATCCCTCCAGGGGGTGATTTCTTGCTTTCTGTCTCTCTGTCTTTCTGGTGAGCGCATGCACTCTATAACAAAAATAAATAAATAAATAAATTATGGCGGCTGAGGCCCGACCCCACAGGTTCTGACTTAGGGTGGGACCTAGGCCTAGTGATGGGATGTGTAGCTAGCACTGAGAGGGGAGGCTTACCTCTTGGGTCAGGAAGGGGGAATCAGCTCTTATAAAGACCCAGACCTGAATAGGAGGCAGGGTCAGGACCCCCAGGGCATGAGGATTTCAGGGACATGCACCTAGGTGCTGGGAAAGGGCCCCACCACCCGACCCAGCAGAGTGAGAGGCCTGGGGAGGAGGCAGGGAAAGGGAGGGTGGGGCGGTGGTTTGGGTGCACTTTTTCCTCTGCTGTGGAGCCTCTGGTCCCACCAGGGCACCCTGGGCTTACCGCTGTCTGTTAGCTCCTGGCCCGCTTCCTCGCTGACCTGGGGTGGGGAACCAGTAGACACAGGTGGGATCAGTGGGGAGTCCTGGTTTGTGCCTCCTCCCATCCGTTCCTCTCTCCAGTACGCCTCGTCCCTGTCAAGACTCGCAGCCCACGGTACCATGGGAGACTTCCTGTGCACAGCTGCTGCCAGCCGAGTCTCAGGAAGAGCCAGTGGGGCAGGGCCTTGCCTTCCCTTTGAGCAGTGTGGACTGCAGGGTGCACCTGTGTGCTCAGCCGGGAGCCCACACTAACCCAAGGCCGGTCCCCATGTTTGGGTGGGGACAAGAGAGCAGAAGCGTGAGGCTGATGCCCACAGTGTAGAAGCTGGGGACAGCTGAGGTCTCCCTGCAGGATCCCACAGAGGTGCAAAAGGCGTGTCCTTCCCAGGGCTTTGAGCCGTGACCACCACTAGCACTTAGAGCACCTTTGTGCCATGAGGAGAGGGTGTCCCTCGGGCTGGAGGCAGCCTCCAGTCCGGTGAACAGAGGGGACCGACTTTCAGCCGCCGCTCGCCCTCTCAGCTGGTGGGCTTATGCAAAGCATGACTC